TAACTTCGTGTTCACTACTTTGGTATACGTGAAGGTAATTCTCAGTAACTATTATATCCGCCTCAATCATCATCCATGTTTTTAGAGGAACATTTCACAAAAGAACATATCATTACCGTAAGTTGATCTTTTAAACATTGGACTTCCTGTATCTAAGGCTCTATTCCCATAGATTTTAGATCGATCTATCCCCGCGGGGAGTCTCACTAGATTACTTTCAAATAATCCGACTTAAATGTCTGTCCCGCCTACTACAAGCTGTAAAGGGGTAATTAACTTTCGTGTCCGCCCGGCTGACAGCTATTTAGCGTGAACCCCCAGGGAGTTAGGTCGATCTAAAGTAGGTCGATCTAATCTATGGAAATGGGGTGTTAGGATGCATTCACAATGAAACTATCGTTCTACGTATACCGATCTACCTCCGCCAAGTCTTTCGCTGAATGCAATCAGTTTAACAAGCCTCCTCTTACTTTCAATCACCAACTTTTCTGTATTCAACACAACGCCAGGAGTAGGTGTGTTAATGTATTAAACTGATTGCATTTAGCAAGTCTCCGTGGAGTTGGATCGATATGCATAGACCGATTCATTGGGATTTTCCCTTAAAGGATTGATATTAATACCACATATTTATACGTAAGATATGTTGTTACAGTCAATATAAGGAACATAAAATCTACATGGATTCCACCATTTGCGAGGAGATGGCTGAGGACGTTACCTTCCCTGGCTATATAGCTTGTGATGGGTTCATGAAAATCGTAAGTGTTTTTGATACAATCCATACTCAATCGTTCACCGTGTATGGCTATGTAGACATCTCATTGGCCCTCACTCTTCAAGTGAGATTGGTTCAGAACATATGACCTGTGTTGTCACGGGCAGCGTCAGTGTGAAAGCGAAAAATAATCAATAAAACATTTGTCAAAAAAGTTTTACTTTTTATTAGGTCTCTCAGGTGGCCACATTTCTAACCTCTGGTTGTTTGTTACTTATACGTCACAGACACCGTGTACAGATACTCACTATGACGTCACGGAAACCACATCAACATCCCCAGTATGACGTCATAGTTAGCACGCTCAGATACTTTAATGTGAAAGATAAAGTTCACCAAAGTTATAGAATAAACGACGTTCATTATGAAGATCTTATAATTCCAATAATTTTTCTAGCTGAAGCAGGTGGCCATATTCTTCAACTCTGGTTGGTCCAGCACGGATATCCACTATGACGTCACAGATACCATATTTGCGCAGGTGACAGGCGGACGACAGTGGATCCTGACCACACCACGTGACGGGAAATACCTCTACTCAGACGACTTTAAATTCCATTCCGGTTAGTGACGCGGATTTTCACATAGAATGATATCATTTAATTCTTTCGGTTCGTTTTCATACTTCAAGTTGAATTCACATATTTGTGTCTCAAGCGTACATGTATCTTAATCCGCGTTTACCTGATACAATTTCTCACATTTAATAAAAGCGATGGCTGAATCTTGGGGTTGGAATATAACGCCCTTTTTGTATTATTTCTTTTATTTAGTTTAATTTCACTTTGCTATATGTAGAAGCAGCAGCCCAATATTATATCTGATTAAGTTTTGACCCTCACTTAATTTACCTCTTCAAATTTAGAAACGGATTTTTCAGTAGATATAAAAGAATAAATAACGCCTCACGGCCCGAAATTCCATTTCCTCACGACAGGTTCCTCACCAGTCAACCAGGAATCAGTGGACTTGACAAAATACCCAGACGTCGCCAAGGTCGCCATCTATAACGCCACCCTGGAACCCGGAGATATCATCTATGTCCCCGAGGGGTGGTGGCACCAAGTGAGGACCCATGGCGGACCCCCTAATATCGCCCTCGCCATCTTTGTTGACTTCCTTCTTTGTATGTTCAACGTGGAGCAGACCGATCAAGTAATTGATTATATTGAAGGGTGTATCAAGCTTCGAGAACAGAAACCGAAAGGTGGGTGGAAAAAAAGTTTTTAACTGTTTGTGCGTGTGCGTGTGTGTGTGTGTAGATGTGTGTGTGTAGATGTGTGTTTCAATTCAGTCGGTGCGTGTTTAATGTATGCGTATGAATGCACGTACCTGCGGATCGATGAGTGTAAACCTATATGGAATAATGATAATAATAAGAAGAAGAACAATAAATAGATAAAAATACACCATAAATCAGCTCATTTGTTCTATAACTTGCATAAGTGGATATCGTAAATATCAAACCATGGAGAGGTAGTACGACAGTGTCAAGAAAACACGCCGAAAGATAGAAGGGCGTTGACACTTCTAGTGGCTTTGATAAATTAGACTCAATTAACACTTATATCAATTTTATTTTGCAATCTGCCTTTATTTGTACTGCCATATCGAGGGAGGTATATATTTTTTACCTTTTTATTCACCAGGTATGAAGTGTAACATCTCTATGGCCAATATGCCAATGAGTGAAGTATTTGCCAAGTACAGCTATCTCAAACCCGAAGCCATGGAAATCTCGCGAGAGAGTGCCGATATTGACGAGATGGACGAGAGGCGACTGAAGAGCGGATACCCCAGTACGTATATGTATATGTATATGTATATAGCCAATTCAGTATTTTTAGATTGATAGACGGCGCAGTGGCTAGTTACTTGTTTTGCCACCGCGGCGCCTCTGGGCTGTGATCATTACCTGATTGTTGGGACATAAAATGGTTTAGCTGCGATGGAGTTGTGAATGTAACGGATATATTGCATCTGTTGACAGCTACATATACACTGTAGCTCCTTAATGCCCAACCGGCAAATTATGAGACGTAATGCTTAAACTACCCCAATGTCATGAGAGATCATTATAAAACGCCTCGCATTTGTGGCACTATTTTGTATACAAGAGTGTCCAAGAACGCGCATGTGAATATATACATATGTATGTGTTCGTTTGGTTGCGTGCATGTGTAGGCTATGTCTACATGTTTGAAGGACGAATAAAGAGAAAGGGAAGGAAAGTCTCCAAATGACGTCACTGCCCCCCTCGTTGTAAATGACCAATGTTTTTTTTCTCCTTAAATATGAAGTGATGCTGGTCAGAAACTCAAGAGAATCACTTGGAAGGGGTGTGTTTCACCAGAAATATACCAGAACTAAGTCTTGTTTATACTTATTTAAAAAATCGCTCAGGTAAAATGCACAGGAGAGTAATTCTGTCACTACACTCGTTTGATCTTACTCGTGAGGTGAATAAAGCTGAAAATCTTGTATTATTACTCAGCAGCAGCAGGCACCCGCAGTATATTACAAAAATTACGTAAACTGATCAAACATTGACGGTGTGCTTTCCAGCACCTTAATAAACCTTAATCAAGGGTTGCCCTCACGAGACAAGTACGCCCAGGAAAGTTCAGGAAAGTGACACTGGATGGGACACACGTGAGGTTGCGTGACTCGATCCTCTAAGAAATAATTCATTGTGTTCCGTATCAAGATCGACAATGGAACTCACAACGACCTCCGTCCTGTCCTCAACGTATACGTAAATGTTTTACCCCCCTTGGCGATAAACCACCGAAAAAAATATCGCTCGTGTTAACATTTTTGACAAGATGTCATGACAAAATTATTGCTTATTTACATGAACAAAGTTATGATTAGCCTACCTAGTATCGGATGTTCGGAGCTTCCTCAATCTAACGAAATATTTGTGCCGCCGAGCACAGTGCAGCTGGTGGGCAGCTGTGACAGGTTAAGTGTGACGTCACAGTTGCTGAGTCACGTGATGTTTGTAGCAAGCTCTGATCTGGCAACAGTAGTTTGGATGTATAATGATAACAATGCATAATAATTGTAAATTGGTATTTCTCTATTTTATAATTTATCATAATATTGCAAGGCATCTACCGGTATGGTAATTTGAAGCAGGCATGACTTCAGTACACTTGTTTTGAGAGAGAGAGAGAGAGATTAATGCATTCAGGGCCTCCATTTACCATGATCCCCACTCTGCGGCCCAAAAAAACTTCAGTAGTCGAGGAGACACTGTGCCAACCTAACTTTGATTTTGAGTAGCATAGTTTAGCAAGGAGGGTTTATCTTTGATATTTTTCAGACGTTTTGTTCCATCGTCTTTACATTTTATCGGTCGAAAGAGTATGGACCAGTGCCAATGAGCATCACCCTCCCATATATTCCACATACCACGCTCAACGAGTATTTTTTCAATAACCTCATAATAGTTCCATGTCTGAACAGCGCCATTAAGTGTAGTTACTGTAATTCATCAAAATATTGTTGGGTAATCTCCCCGATCCGCATGCAATAGCCGATTGAAATAGTGTATTCTGTCGATATCAGCGGCGCAACCCGATGACTGCCAACCAAGGTCACCCTTCACCGCAATATATACCGAAATACAACGATTTTATTTTTTAACAGACTGCTGTGGTCAGATAATAATGTTGCCCGACCTTATTTAGATTGTACGGATTCAAGCTATTTTCGTTCTTAGTCTGAGGGCTCATTCTCAATACAACTATCGGTCCAACTCCGCATGGGACTCTCAGTGAATGTAATTAGTTTAACAATTTAGCACGCCTCCATTTGCTTCCAAGGTGCTCGCATAAACACCAGGTTTTGTGTAGTTGGATTAATTTCAGCACACTCTTTTCTATATTTTTATAACGGGACTATATCTTGGTCAGAGAAATTTCTAGTTTTATTGGTAGTTTGTTTTTAACCTGGTGTTTTTTTCAGGTTTTTTTTTTTAGAAAGTTTAATTAATAGAAAATAAAATCTAAGAAACACTAGGTGAAAACTGTATTGTACTGTTTAATCTGTTTGAAGTTTTATCCTCAAGTTTTAGCTTTTAATCATATTTTAAATATTATTTTTTATTTTATCCCCAGTGCCGGTATTGGGGCTTGGTCTGGGAGGCATGACGCCAGAAGAGACAGAGAGGGGTGTCCGCCACGCTCTTAAAGTAGGTTACAGGTACGTCTGCTTCTTAGGTGAGGTATACTAAGCTTTCGTAAAGGGCTACCGGTAGTTGGAAAAAGCGAGCGCCTAAGGGAAATGCAAGTAAATCTGGAGTACTCATAGTACTGTAGAACAAGATACTCCAGTAGGTACAGTTGTACCTTAGTTAGATTATGTAATTCTACGTCAGGACTCAATTTGCTAAGTCAATTCCACTGATTCATTTAAATTATGATCTATTTCCCTCTTATACGTTTGAATTTTTCTTTAAGCGCGAGGTCAGTTTTTGATAAAAGTTACAACACCTGCTGACACCGTGCTAACTGATGCATGGCCTGCTTCCATATATTCAGGGATAATGTGTGTGTATGTCAAGATTTCACTTTCACTCAATCTCAGTCTAAGTCATTTCAAATAAACATGAGTTATGATACAGAGTATTAATTTGAATTTATGGTTATTTCGTTTATTTCAGGTTGTTTGACACCGATCCGGAAGACGAAAGCGAGGCAACTTTAGGTGCATTTTTGGCTGAAAACGAATACTGTGAACGTGAGGACATATTCGTTATCGTTAAAGTTCACCCAAAAAATTTGGGCAGAGAGGCGACAAGAAAGTCGATCGAGCGATCTTTACAGAGGTTGCAGACGGACTATCTTGATTTGGTTCTGATCCAAGCGCCATCGTGCGACGAGAAGAAATTTAAATGCGAAGCAGACGACAACCGCGGCACGTGGCAGGAATCATTGGAAACTCTTGAAGAAATGAACAAAACTGGAGTTATTCGTTCATTAGGGGTAAGCAACTTCAAAAAGTCGCAGATGAAGGAACTTCTCAAAAAGGCAACTGTCCCCGTTTCTGTTCTCCAAGCCAGATTCGATCTAATGACAAGAAACACAGCGCTGAGGACATTTTGCGACAAAAACGGAATTCAGTTCATGGCGCACAGTTTGCTTGGCTTCGGATGGGTGGCCGACGGGCTCTTTGAGGGAAACCCAATCATCGGCAGTTTTCCGGTGATGCTGGCCGCGAGAAAATACCGCACCAGCCCAGCGTCCGTTTTGATCAGATTCGCTCTGGATCGGAACATCACCGTCGTCCCCCGGTCGTCCAATCCGCTGCATATTTCTCTGAACAAGCATGCTGCGTATTTAGATATTCCTGACAGCCCAGACATAATGAACAGTTTGGAAGACTTCCCTCACAGACAATGAAATTAAGAAATAAAAACTTTTAAGGGAAATGAAGGTAACAAAAAAAAAAATCTCCCTAACTCATTAATTTCACTTACATGCATCTACAGTAGGTATACCATATTACTATTAGATTAATTTTTTTCATGAATATTCAGAAAAGTATGAGAAGCAAGGAATATAGGAGCAGACGACATGCGGCATGTGGCACAAACCTTCGGAAATCTTTCGCTACAGACAGTGAAATTAAGATAGGCCTATTGTATGGAGGTGAAGAGGAAAAAAAAAACTCCACCTTTCTTATATCACGCTTTATATGTACATTTGATGCTTTTACATGTATCGCGCATCTAATGCGTAAAGAGTACCGCTCCAGAGGTAAGACCCGTCAAAAATTATCAGTTATTTCAAACTTAATGCAGATCGATGTATGTCTGAACATTTGATAATAAGAAAGATTAAGTAATGTGTAGCACACATTGACGAAATATCAGACAGACAATAATATCACATATATATTTCCTCTCACTGAGGGGTGTCAGGATAAAAATCATCTTTATTTTAATTCCACACTTAGAAAAACTGCTAGCTAAATTTTGTAAAAGTGAAATTGAGCAGAATAAATGTCTTGTTTTGTATTTTTCGTGAACGTACAATTCTTCAATCACAATAAAAAAGCAAAACGACTCGAATGAAACACAAAAAAAGCAATGATTTATAAGAGCAACTGTATGCAGTATCAGTATGTAACTAACACAATGAACTTTTATCTGACCATTCACGTTAGAAATTCAACGACACATTCTCAACTGATCTTAATTTGCTCACAATTAATTGCAGACTATAAACCTTCGTTGATGTAAGTACTAGGAATCCACAATTAAAACTTCCATATATGGCACACTTAAACCTACATTACTACATAGAGCTGCCGTCATTCATGCCTATAGTACTGCAATTAAAGTAATTAATTCTAAATGAAAATCCCATTTTTACTTTAAACAATGTTTACAACTGACTTTATATAATTAATAATATTTCACATGCCAAAACTATTTCGAGCGACAGAAACACACATGCATGTTAAAAACCAATCTGTCTGATAAGGTGCAGCTACAAGCAGCATTTAAACGCTTTCTGAAATACATAAGCATCCACAATGCATTAACGGTTGAATTATATATAACGCTGTTGACTCTGTATATGAATGATAAAATATGTTAAAATAACTGTGAATTACAAATTATCGTAAAGCCAGTGAAAGGGTTCAACAGCCAGTGGCTTAGTACATGGCGGGGTTCTTAGTGAAAAGAAATCAGGGCCCAGTAACTCGAAAGGATCGCGCATTGCGACCGAGCACGAGCGTCTCGATTCCATAGCTCGTCCATATTCGTCCCATATAATATACTGTAGTCTCTATGTGATATCGCTATTCTCAACACGCGTTGCTTCCGAGTTACGGAGCCCAAGTGACTTTGAAAGTAGGTCAAGCAATTTTCCCACACTTTTTGCCGCACGTTCATTCAAACGCAAGTATTTCAGTCACTTGTCACGCAAGGTACATGCAAATTACAAAAACTGGATGTAAATGCATATTTTAGTCTTTATTTCTAGTCCTAATTTTTTACGCCCGATTTCAAACAGGTCTTTGGAGTGTTTGATGTTGTGAAAGTAGCAGTTTAGTGCACCATCCAACTAAAACAACTTTGTATACCCCTTTAATTTCGCTTGAATTTCTTTTGTAATGGGCCGCAATCTCTGTCGCATGTTTCATTGCTCACAGAAGATTTTGAACTGTGATTGGGCTTTGTAGTTTGGAAGTAAAACTTTTTCTTTGTTGTAAATACAAACTGGGCAATTTGATGATTGTGTTTTTCACTAAGCTTCGACTGCACGTGAAGACAAAGATTATATATTTCCTGATCGACTGGGATTTCCTCCACTAAGCACTGAGTAAAGGGGCTCAGAGACTCATTACTGCCAGCATAGGCATTGGTACCATCAGAAGCAGAAAGTATTTTTGCCATGTCGTAGCCAAGTTCAGTTTTGTTTAATTCTTTAAGATGAGCTATGTGCTTCTTGGAGGCATTTTCTATTGACATCAAATAACCTTTTCCTCCGGCCATTTGACCGCGACATGCGTCTGTTATATATATTTTGAAAGCTGCTTCTGTTTTCCCCAAGTTTAACAAGATTTTGTCTTCATCAATTTTATCTCTATTGTGACAAAGGAGTTGCGCTACACCGTCCTTTGATATTTCTCCGTGACCCGAAAAATAAAAAAGGACAACTGCATCTTTTTGCTTGCCCCACCCTTCTATTACATCCATGATATCCTTTTCATTTGCATCCTTTAATATGGTTACCTCAAATGGCTGGTTAAGGGAACTCAAAACCTTATACATCTCATCTGCATCATTTTCACAAGACGGCAGACTTGGAGCTGGACCACAAGAATAGTTGTTGCCCACTACTAGAGCCAAACGCTTCTCATGGTGGCACACAGTCTCTGGGGAGGGTAACAAACAGAGTTCTGTTGAATAAATAACGTATTTAAAACAGTCCAGGAGGTATCACTGATTTATTAACGTAAGATTGAACTCTGGTGCTGGTAAAAAGTAATTAATCTGATTAAATTTGATTTGTGTTTTATGTTGGATAATAATTTACTTAGGCGCACCACCAACTCAACTTTGAGCAGGTGAGTGTGAACAGTAAACTTTTTTCTCAAATGACTATGTAATGACTATATTTTTGAAAACGAGCTTACCTGGCGGTTCTGAATCAAGCCCTCCCAACCGATCTCTGATAAGTCCATAGAACGTGTCTGATGTTTTGCAATCTGTATATTCCCTAAACATTAAAAATACAATTCAATATATACATATATACATGTACACTGTATATACTCCCCTACCAAAAAAAAAAAAAAAAAAAAAAAAATCACACAAGAAACGAAGCGTGAAGTAATGAAGAAAATTATGTAATTAACCAATCGTTTAATTCAGATATCTAGAACCATGTTTCACAAAATTCGACATCTAATTAACAAGCTTACCCCTGGCGCATCTGTGCGTGGAGTCAGAAAAGTTCTGTAACGCTTGTGATGGTGTAGGAGTAACACTTTTTGGTAGGGGAGTATATCTAGTTTTCAAGTTAGCCTTTACTTAATTGAAGACTAAATCTTTTTTATAAATGATTTTTTTAATATGGATTTTCATTCCCAATAAAATCTCAGTCGAGCATAGACATACATTTCCATTGCTTGTGGCCATCAATGCATATGCAAATACAATTCTAGAGTTGGTGTACATAGAAGTACTTTAAATTTTTAATGTGTTAATTATCTTTTATGGAAAATAAAGTGTGCGTGCATTATCTTACCACCCAATGTGATTGTCACATCCTGAGCAGTAGATTATTTCCCATTCGTATCCCTTGTACCACGTGAAGTAACTTGTTTTCTTGGAATGCAATAAGAAACTCATGTAAATGTGGTATCTTAATGTTTTTCAAATTTTTGAAAAATAAGAGAGGCATGTATTTAAAGTTTAAAAGTATTGACATATATCGGATCAAGTATATATGGCCCTTTGACAAAACGTGTCTTTGAAAATACCAAATTTAAAGCATCAAAAATAACCTGCCTGTTTCTTACTGGTATTATTCCTCCACATATTGCAATTAATACAAGGTAAAAGAGAACAGCGTTTCTGAGAAACTCAAAATGACTGATAAAGATGATGCCCAGCTGATGTCTGATTAAAGGATATATGATAGTGGGTACACTTCGACATAAAGATGGGCTGTAACACTGTGGGTGTAATAAACCGTGTAAGACTATGAATTTTTGTTATTCTTTCAGTACGTTACGTAGAAATATTACTTTTGGAAGCCACTGTCTACACCATATAATATTGGCAATTGCGTCAGTACATACGCTGCAGTTGCACCTGTGGTTGGACAGGAATATGTGAGACATGCGTAATGCAATTAAGTGTGTATTTTCAATAAATAATATATAAACATTTTGATTCTATAATCCATTTACGTGCATGATGACATATTCAAACTTGGTTCATGACAAAAAAGTACCAGGCAAGGTAAGTTAACCTGTGCAAAAACAACTCGATTATGAAGCTCACTTATAGTGTGACCTACTTTTAAATCATGTAGGATTTTTGTTCTCTTTTGGTGAATCTTTGGGTGCTTCAAGGCTATTTTCGCCAGCAAATTTTATGTGAATATGTCTCTTCAGAGTATCTTTTTAAAGAGATATCAATCTGTATTATGAAAGATAAAGTGACAAGGGGGAATATTTGATAAAGAAAGAACCAGGTATATGTCCGGGCCGGTTTTGGCAAAAGCTCATATTTTAGAATATAGATTATTGCTCTCTTGTGACACGTCGTAAAGAAAAAAGCATTTTCTGTGGGCCAAAAATGAATAAAACTATTATATGTAGACAATTTCTATCATTTTCTTGGCATTTTGATCATTTATCAATCTGATACTGAAACCACTGTTATCTAACACTCATTGTTGTTAAAGTTCTAGGAATTGACAGCAATCTGCCCTTGAAAAAAAAAACTGAAAAAAAGAAAAAAAGAACCTCGCCATGATTAAAAATAGACACTGCTAAAATAACCTAAAAATCGACATAAATATGATTATTAAAATCACTTCTTTATTTGTTCTATGTGCAGTGGCGACGAGGAAAAAATGTATTTACAGAAGATAATAACAATGCAAAAGATGACATACCCCGCCAGCGGCTCTGTAATTTATGCATTTTGACACTGGCACAATGAGAAAATGGTATCCTGAAATTGAAGAATAAAATAATTCCCATATTGCGCCTTATCCAAATTGTAAAAAAAAATATAATAAGTCAACATAACATGTTCTTATTTTAACAGAGGGGAGGGATATACAATTATATAACAACAACAACAGTAATAACACTAATAAAAGCAAGATTGCTCTTTTGTTTCGTTATTTTATTGATTATGTATCATGAT